CTTTGAAGAGAAACTATGTTGTGGTTTCATTTAAATCAGGATTGAGGCTTTCTAAGAAAGTAGTGGTGGTCAGTGAAAAGGGAAAGTTTCCTACTCTACTCACAACACTTCTGACCTGATGTGTGGGTTGTTTTCCTCCTCACCTTAAGCAATGCTGACACTAACTACCTGGAGTTAGGGCAGTTCCCACGGGTTAAGAACTCAGTCCCACAAAACTGTCCCCATTTTTAGAGGCCAATCACAAGTCCCAGGTTGTGACCTGTCCTACTAACCACCCAGCTATACATGGGGATTCCCACAACGCATTCCTCAGGGTTGATAATTTTTCTAGAACTGTTCACAGAACTCAGGAAAGCACTTTACTTACTACGATCCGTTTATATAAAGGATAAACTTGGGAACAGCCAAATGGAAGAGAGGCATAGGGCAAACTATGTGGGAAGAGGCATGGAGCTTCCCTGGCCTCACCAGGATCACAACCTTCTCAGCACCTCAATGTGTATGCCAACCCAGGAGTTCTCTAAACCCAGTCATTTAGGGATTTTATGGGGACTTCATTACATAAGCATGATTGATTACATCATTGGCCATTGGTGATTAAGTTCATTTCCATGTCCTTTTCCCTCCCCAGAAGTAGGGAGTGAGGCTGAAAGTTCTGACCTTCTTATTACATATTTGCTTCCTTTGGCAAGCAACTATCCTCTATGAGTTACCTCATAAGCATAACTTTAGAGGTTCAAAAAGGCTTCTTATGGGGCACCAGGCTGGCTCAGTGGTAGAGCATGTGACCCTTGATCTCAGGATCTTGAGTTCAAGCCCCATGTTGGGCCTAGAGCTTACTTTAAAAAAAAAAAAAAGGGCTTCTTGTTAATAACAAAAATGCTCTCCTTACCCTTTTCACACAAAAAATGGTAAGGATTTTAGGAGCTCCCTGCCAGCAACTGGGATGAAGATTAAATATAGATTTCTTATTTCACAATATCACAGTTAATTAATTTCAAAGGCAGCAGTGCCTATTATTTACCTGATTATTGGTACCTGATTCACAGTGAATGCTTAATAAGTATTTGTAGAGTGGAACTGGTGAAAAAAAATTTTTTTTATGAAGAAAACAGGTTTATCAGTGGAATATTTCCAGTGGTGAAGAGGGGAGTGGATCCATCTGCTCAAATTGGACTACTTGAAATTTGACACCAAAGCTCCCTGTCAGAGAGAGCATAATGGTCTGCACATAACCAGCATATAAATATGCTGAATGAATACGTGAAATTTCTTCTGTGTGACATATAAAAATTATGATTCCACTGTGACAGCCAATGTGTTAGGTGTTATTGTATACCACATCCCATTTCATCTTTATAATAATTACATGAAGTAGGCAGTACTGGATTATCAAGTGTGGGTTTAGGGTACCAGAAAAACTGAGGCACCCAAAATTTGGAGACAATTGATATCTAATGTCTTATTTAAAAAAGAATACCAGGAGTGCCTAGGTGGCTCAGTCAGTTGAGCGTCTGACTCTTGGTTTCAGCTCAGGTCATGTCATGGGTCCTGACATAGAGACCCACGTGGGGCTCTGTGCTCAGCGGGGAAGCTGCTTGAAAGATTTTCTCCCTCTGCCCCCTCCATCTCTCTCAAATAAATAAATCTTCAAGATTTATTTATTTTATTTGAGAGGGAGAGAGAGAGCACACACATGCGGGAGGATGGGCAGAGGGAGAGAATCTTCAGACTCCCCTCTAAGCACCGAGCCCCACGTGGGGCCTGATCTTATGACCCTTGAGATCATGACCTGAGCCGAAACCAAGAGTCCACCACTCAACCCACTGAGCCACCTGGGGGGGCCCTAACAAATAAATCTTAAAAAAAAATAAGGGCACCTTTGTTGCTCATTCGGTTAAACGTCTGACTCTTGGTTTCGGCTGGGATCATGATATCAGGGTCTTGAGATAGGGCCCCATATTAAGCTCCATGATTCTCTCTCTCCCTCTGCCCCTCCCTCACTTGAGATAGTGTGCACTCTCTCTCTCTCTCAAATAAATAAATAAATACAATCTTAAAAAAATAAAATAAAAAGGAACACCAGAGTATGAAAGCCAACACTGGAGAAATCAGGAGTTTTTCTACATTACATTTAGTATTGTTTCCACTGTCTTTTGGAGAGTGCTTTGCATTACTAACAGCATCTAAAGGTCTTCACCTGGCTTCCGAAGATTTCCATGATTCCTATTTACAGAACAAGAAAACAAGCCTCAGAGTGCTTAGACTAGATGCATTCACACAGTAACGGAGCCCATGGTGATGGTACTCAATGTTTATGATACATTATATATTTATGATGGTACACATCAATTTACCTTTTAAACCTGTGAATCTTGTTGGGCCTTCTTTATTGGTTTAGAGTTTTAATCAAATAAAGCACGTGACAAAATTAACCTAAATGTGTTTTGATCCCTATTGTATTCTTAGCCCCTAGAACAGTATTCAGTGCATCTGTATTTTTAGAGATTGAAAGAATGAATGATATGCAATCATCAGCCCACCTAAATGATTGTGCTTTGTATTAGTTTTAGGTTCAACCAAGGGAAAGTGAGAAGGAAATCCAGCAGATCAAGAAACTTCTCTGATGCCCTACTGAGATTGCCTGGATTCTTAAGACCAGGGTCCTACAATGTCTCCATTTTTATGATCTTTAGATTCCTATTTTGGAAGCTGGGATCCTAGACTCCTTTCGCCCTATATAAAGTGTGTCAGACAAAGGAGTGTGATTTAAGGGAATGTATTCTTCTTTTTTTTTTTTTAATTAAGGGAATGTATTCTATAAGTTATTTAAGAAATGTTTCCTAAGAACTGATACTGATAGTAAAGGCGACAAGAGAAAGGCAAAGTCTAAAGGGCCTACTTCTTTTTCTTCATTACTTTTCCTCCCAACATGAAGAAGTGGGGAAACTAAATTTTAGTCTATGGTATCTCCATTACCTATACTAAAGGATCTCAATGATGGGTGTGCAGAAAACCCACCTGGAGAATTTAGAAATTCACCTTTCTAAGTCTTGTTTCAGAGTCCCTGAGATTACAGGTGTGAGTGGACCCAGGAATCGGCACCCCTGGTGAGTACGGCCCTGGTGGTCCAGCCACTGAACTGTAAAAAACACTAATGTTAAGCAAATTTGGGTCATAGACAAAAAATCTGAACTGCAATCAAGTCTTTATTTCTGTCATCCTCACCATGGCTTGGGCAATTGTCCTATTCCTAAATTTGCCCTTATTCCTAAAATATCCACAGCTCCTTAGCTGAATAACATTCTGCAGGGTCTTAGCTTAACTTGTCTGTCCAAACCAGTTTACACAAAAGTGTGAATAAGGTTTAAATCCTTTAACAGGGCACTTTCAAAAAAAAAGTATCCTAAGGTATTAGAATGCTTTCATTACACTTAAGTTTTGTTTCTTTGGCAGGGAATTAACCTGCAATACCTGTTAGTCTAATTCGATTGCTGAAGGAATCCTGTCCACTTCCCTCTTCTGCTTACTGAATTATTCCTTCTAGACTCATACTGTTCTTTGTGAAGACTTCTTGATAAACCTATCCACAGGGACGATCCCTTATATCACCCTCATCCCTTGCATGTTTCAGTGATAGTACCTATCATCTTGTACTGGGATTGCCTAATTTAGTTTCGTAACTCCAGTTCTAGGAACAGTGCCTGCCAAACAGCAGGCGCTCAATAATTGTGGAACGAACAAATGAATGTCAAAGACTAGGCCGAGAGTTTTAAAAATCAGTGTTGACTAAGAAACAAAACACGGAAATGTCAAGGGCTGAATGCCAGGCGTTGCAGGCCTAGAAAGAATAAAAATAACCCCTAACAGCACAGAGTCCTCTTGAAGGGATCACCTGTTCCATTTTCTCACTTCGCTTTCCAGCGTCTCCTGACACCCCAGTTTCCCGCTCACTAACTCATTCTCTTCCCTACTGTGGACAAGTCAGGCAGGTAGCACAGCTCAGCAGCTCTGATTGGTCGGCGATGATTTCATTGTTAGGAAACATCCGGGCTTTTTCCCTCCCCGCAACACCTCCCCCAGGGCCCTGCGTTCCGAGCTTCCCTCTCCCACGTTCGCCCCACCCGTGGCTGAAGCAAAACAACTGCCTCTCCCCGGACCGCTTCTTATCCTCGCCTGCGCCATCCCTTCCCGTCTCTTCGCCAAAGAGAGGCGTTTATGCCCTCCAATGAGGGCCTAACAGGACTTTGTTAGCCAATCAGCAGCCAACCCCCTGCAATTCCGGGTGGGACTAGGCTTCCACACCTATAACTGGACAGCGCGTTGGCTCCTTTATTGAGCCTGTTTTACGCAAGGCTTAGAGGTCAAAAATAAAGGGGCCTGGTTCTCCTAGGACGGGAAGGAACCGCACACACTGTGGATTTGACCGTTTTCGAACACTAGCCAATCGCTCTTCGGATACTTCCCCGCCTTTTGCGCGTTCATTTAAAAAAAGCCAGTGTGACGGACTTGGAAATTGGTTCAGTGACGGACACGGACTGAAAGCCAATCATTGAGGGTTCGGGTCACCCTTTGGACCAATAAGAAAAGAGAATCGCTAGGGCTCGGTCTTTGCGAGGCGGAGTGCAGGTGGGCGTTACTTGATTGATGGTGATCTCTACTTATGGCTGTTGGGGTGGGTTGGTCCCTAACACCCAGAGGCGCGGCTGAATGAAGTAAATGGTAATGAAGGGTTGGGTCTCACTCAGTGGGCGGTGTTTGATGGATAGTTGACCTTGCCAATTGAAGGTGGTCGCTGATGCCCAATGGGAAATTAGGAACTGAGAGGCGGGGCATTGTGGGCGGTGAAAACTAAGTACCGAGGTACAGAGCAGCCGAAGTAGGAGGGAGGGTGATGATTGACGGGTCGTCTAGCCAACCGGGTGCAGCGAGAGGCTGCACCGTCCCAATGGGTGTGAGCTGGGGGCGGGGCTCGCCGAGGGGCGGGGAGGACAGGGTGCGGGGAGGGGGTTGCAGAAGGAGCCGAGCGGCTGCTGCTCAATGGCGGAAAAGCCGCCGGTACTCTGACCGCCTGGTCCCCCTAGCAGTTGCGGGGGAGTTTCCTGCCGGCGCGGCTGGAGTCTCTGTTTCTCAGGGTTCGGTGGCTGGAAGATGCTCCAGAGAGACGAGGCTGCGGCGGAGGAGGTGGCGGCGGCCGAATCGGCAACGGCGCTAGGGTGGAGAGAAGGCGGCAGCGGCGGCGGCGGCGGCGTGCGGGGCCCGACGGTGTAAACAGCCCCGGAGGCGGCGGAGGCGGCGGCCGAGACCCCGACGGGGAAGCGGCGGCTGAGGCAGGGTCGCGCCTCGGTCGGAAGCCTGGGCTGAGTGCAGCAGAGGGTCTCTGCGGCGGGCGAGAGCGGACGCCCTAGACCTCGCTTCCCTCCCTCGCCCCAGGTAAGGCCGCTCCGCACCCCGCCGCAGGGGAAACGGCTCGCGGGCACCGCCGAGGCCCCGGACCGTTTTCGGGGTGCCGCCGGGCTAAGGTCGTGGGCCCTGCCTGCCTAATCCTCGCCTCTTCTGCCGTGGAGCCTGGGGGAGCAGAACGCCGGGCCTGGCTCCTGGCTAGGCCCCTTCCCCAGCCGCCGCCTCCGCGCTCGGCCAGGCTGGGAGAGGCTCGGGGCAGGGAATTTTACTTTGCTCCAACGCCTGGAAGTAAACTGCTTTCCCCTGTTCTCTGCTTCAGTCTGCGAGCATCTCTTTCACACCAAAACACTGGGGCTACCCCAGGCCTTAACTCATCCCTTCCTGGATCGTGCTTATTTGAAAACCTTACCTTTTCCATTTGTTTCCTCATCCGCTTCTGCCCCACTCTGCGCTCCACTTCACTTCCTTGTTAAAATCTTTCTCGCTCTTCTGTCTGTGCGTCTCACCACCTCCTTCCTTCTTAAGTGGCTTTAAGTCGCTTCTTAGCCGACTCCGGGCTTCTCTTCCCTTCCTTCCCCAGCGATCCTTTTCGGATGTCATTGTTTTTAACAGAGAAGTTTTTAAATGAAACTTCTACCGCCAGTAACCCAAATCTTCCAGACACCTTTTAAGAGTAGACTAATCAGCTTTTTGTGGCAGATCCGTTTTTGTTTTGTTTTGTTTTGTTTTTGTAATTTAACTGAGCCTAATAACCTTAAAAAAAAAAAAAGGTTGTATTCTTAAACGCCAAATGTGGAAATGACACCGAGGTAATTTTAAAAACGAGGGACTCAGTGAATGTTGAAAATAGTTATTTCATTTTTTAAGTTGCCTGACCTCTGATGTCGGATTTAGCAGATCTAGAACGTTTGCCCATCTTATTTGGCAAAACTGCTTCTTAAGCCGGCCCAGATTCATCAGTATTCAAGTCGGCTTAAAAACAACGTGAAAACTTTAAAAAGAAGATATTTTATGAACAGCTAACTAGGAAGCTGTTTTCATGAAGTCACAGTTAAAGACCTTTTAAAATAGGCTCCACATGTTTAACGTATCAAAATAAAGTTGGCAGGAGTCTCGTAAAAGGATTATTTAGGAATTTGAGTAGTCTTAGTGATATGTAACTATTTTGGGAAAAACATTCTTTTTCTGTTAAGAGACGTTTACAACTGTGATGTGAGAATTACTGAGGTTTATTGTGGGATTAACAGAGGAACTCATTTTATTTGAGCTACTGCACGGATGTAGAAGTGGTAGATTGTTCCGGGCAGATAGCGTAAGTTGGTATGTTCTGGGAGATAGAGAAACATGCCATCCACGCTGAATGTTAATGGACATTATTTCATTTACTTTATCTGTTGTGCAATAGCAAAGTTCCTATTGTTGGCCTACTTTTAAATAGAGAATTTCTAAATGGAGACAAGTTATTCTAATTATAATAGTCTTTTCCAAGTGTACAGGCTTTAAAAAAAATATGAAGTTATACTATTAAAACGGTAATTTTTAAAGAAATATTTTTGTAGGCTTCTTCAATGGGCAATGTATTGTTTCAATTGAACTTTTAAAATTTAGTGTTTAGAAAGGTTTTTTTTTTTGTCAACTTTTTTTTTTCCAGGGATAATCCTGATTTTTACCATCCTTTTTTGTTTCTCTCAATGTCTTTTTTCCTTTTAATGGTGGTGGTTTGTGTTTTTCCCTTTCATTTATTTTTGCTCTCATAAAGTCTTATCACGGTTTCTACAGTGGCTTTTTATGTTGCTTTATCAGCATGGAATAGTATTTTTATGTGATCTTTCATACCCGTTAGTTAAGATTTCCTCAGTTTTTGTACATTATCCTTTGAATTTCTTCATGTTGTAATTATTCTCTTAGAAGTGACCAGCAAATCTTAGAACACCTGTTTTCTCATACCAGGTGTCTGATTTCTGTGAAGACTCCAGGAATAGGTGAAAGCTTTTAAAGTTTGCCTGATAGTCATGGCAATAAATATTATTTTATGTTAGTAATTAACATGTTATAATTACCAAATCCCTTAAGATTGCATCATCTGAAGGAATGGTATGTCTGAATAGCTGTGCTTCTAAGAATATCTGATTCACAAGTTGAAAAGGTCAGAAAAAGTGGTTTTCTTGTTGAAAATTTATTTTCCTATAATGTACATTTTTTACGAAGTCTTTTGAATTAAAATTTGATGCTGATGGACTCTCTTGGCACTCTTGGAAGAGTAGAATTTGCCAAAGTGTAGTTTAGTGATTGTGGAGATTCATTACAGTCCTTTCGCCCTTGGCTCAGTTTTTAAACATGCCCTTGTAAATGAGTTGGTAAACATTTCTTTTATTGCACATGATACTGACAGTGAATTCCCCCCCACCACTCATTGGTGTTAGTTACACATATTATCTACATTGTATGAAAACTTGTATGTTACATGTAACTATTTTAAAGTATCTTGTGACATTACCTAGAATAGGAAGTAGTAAAATAGTATAATTTAACTCCGTAGTGGTCTTTCGTAAGATACAAGTGGTCTTTCATAAGATAAAGTGAATAAAATTAACTTATTAAAATATAAGACATGGTATTTTACTTTTTCTGTGAACTTTGCCTTTCACAGTTCACTAATTTTAAGAAAAAATTAGTTGGGAAACAACTGACAGGGTCAGAGTTAGAATAGTTAAGCTTTTTTTAAATCCCAGAATTTGAATAGCAAAATTTATTCAAGTAATACTTAGCATAAAATATAAAATTATGGTTAGTCGTAAGAGAATTTGGGGGAATATGGTTACTTCTGGATATCCATTGTGTTTGTTTTTTTTCCACATTGTACCTGGTTCTTTATTTTTTCTTAGTGAACTAATTTCAGAATTTGAGTTGAAACCAAATTATTAGTAGCTTTAAACTTTTATGGTAGAAACATATTTTATATATCACATCAGTAGAATTGTGGATTAAAAGAATTGACAGATTGGGGCTATGAGGTAAAATTCTCAGATACTAGGTAAACCCTGGAAATGTAATCTGACTACTTTCCATCCCACTCTTTTGTACTCCAACTAAACAGTGAAGGGAAATAGGGTAGAGTTTGGGAATATTGGTTTTTGTAGTTTTTGCTTGACATTAAAATTTATAAAATGACAGGGTCTGTCATCTAGCAACTGATCTAACAAGTATAGGTGAACAAAAAGATACTTCATAATCTTTGTTTTATCCTTATTTTTGTTGATGATACTTGTTTATAACAAAACATTTAAAAGAAAATAACTTTTGATCTTCGAGAGTAATTTAAGTATGCTAATATCTCTGATTAGCCATTTTGGAATCTTTTTTCAAATGAAACATTTCTAACGTGGTTTAACCTCTTTGCGTAGACTGGACTTGCATTACATTTTTCAGTGTTTAAGCTGTACCCTCCCCCCCCAAAGAAAACCACCATTTAGACTAACTTGAGTGATTTGATCAGGGAGTTGAATCAGTATTATGATTAAAAAGAGTCTTTACTAAATTCTTGATGGAATGAAATTTTCTGAAAGTGTAGTCTATATATTGTAGTTTAATTTCTCAGATTTTAGGGCGCCTGGGTGGCTAAGTTGTTAAGCGTCTGCCCTCGGCTCGGTCATGATGCCAGGGTCCTGGGATCAAGCCCTGCATCGGGCTCCCTGCTCGGTGGGAAGCCTGCTTCTCCCTCTCCCACTCCCCCTGCTTGTGTTCCCTCTCTCGCTGTGTCTCTCTCTGTCAAATAAATAAATAAAATCTTTAAAAAAAATTATCAGATTTTATAAAGATTGTGAGATTTCATTTTTAGCCTCATCTACCAACCTAGAAAAAAATACCATAAGGTAGCTCGTTCTTTTTTTTTTTTTTTAATTTTCATTCAAACTTCAGGGTGTGTTATTTCTCCCTTTCAATTTAATGTTTGTTTGTTTTAAGATTTTATTTATTTGACAGAGAGAGGTAACACAAGCAGGGGGAGTGGGAGAGGGAGAAGCAGGCTTCCCGCCAAGCAGGGAGCCCGATGTGGGGCTCGATCCCAGGACCCTGGGATCATGACCTGAGCCGAAGGCAGATGCTTAACGACTAAGCCACCCAGGCGCCCCCCTTTTCAATTTAATGTTAATAACAGACATAAACATTTTGTTCTGGATTATGGTAAGTCACGACATAGAGGAGTTCTCAAGTAAATATTTTTCTTTTTTAGCTACAGCTAACTTGTGACCACATCTACGGTATCTTCTTATTTCTTGGCATGACATATACTTTTTATAATGATACCCTTTGTATGTAGCAACTTATTTAAGGACCCAGTAGTTTAACAATTGTGGTATTTTAACTTGTTCATATATTTAGGGAAATTTAACATGGTTTGTAACATTTAAAGCACAGTTCACCAATTCAAAGCTTTTTTCATTTACTTTATTTTTTTTTATTTTTTAAAGATTTTATTTATTTATTTCACAGAGAGACACAGAGAGAGAGGGAACACAAGTAGGGGGAGTGGGAGCGGGAGAAGCAGGCTTCCTGCGGAGCAGGGAGCCTGATGTGGGGCTTGATCCCAGATCTCCGGGATCATGACCTGAGCTGAAGGCAGATGCTTAACGACTGAGCCACCCAGGCGCCCCTCATTTACTAGTGTAATATTAACTTACTAAAAATGGAGTCAAAGGTTTTTTTTTTTTTAGTATGTTGAAATATCAATATAACAACTATTGGCTTTAAATTGATTTCTTTCTGAAAATTAGAGACCTTAAAGTTTGGAAACATAACCCTTGTTGAAAAACTTGTTTTACATTCCTTTGAACAAAAGACTATTAAATACATGGTCTGATATTTAGAGGAGAGAGAGATGAACGCTGGAAGACTTCTATTGAATATTAAGGAACTTGTCTCACTTTCAGAGATGGAACTAAATATTGGCAGGGGTATAAGGAGAATAAGACCTGTGTCTAGTATTGCTGTGCTTTTTGTCTACATAGAATGTCCCCCACTTCGAAATAGGT